ATGAACTCCCACTCAAGATACCCACCTCCCTTTTAGGATATGGCTCTTTGGCTTTTGGATCAAGTAGGCATTGTCATGGCTCTCAAAGCAATGGGAAACATCTTTGCAAATCTGGATGGTGTTTTCAAATTCTGCAGCCTGGCATCTGTAATGTCTGTTATTAAGGTGATATGCTGATATCAGCAATAGAACTGAGCCGACAGGCAAACCTTCAGACAAGACCATAAACTGCCTAGTGTAAATCAGGATGGTCAGGACATTGACTTGAAACCAAACGATGGGGTTTTTTCCTTCAGAAACAGTGCTCTAAAATGTTGGTCCTTGGCACTCTCAACATTATGAAATACCGAATCTCAACAAAAAACTTGTGTCTGGTGAGTCCAGAAGCTTTCAAGCTCAGGTCTGTATTTTTCTTAATGAATGCTATTCACTTACAGCATTCAGTTACACATTCAGTTCTTCAGTAAACTCAAATGAGTAAGCATCCAATACGGATCTATCAGAAACCTCTTCAGTTATCCACTTAGCAATGAGATGTCAAGGCTAACAATGATGTGGAAAATATGCTCTGTTTGACCAAAACGTCTTACCATCTTTTGGATTTGTGATAACTGTCTCTAATGGCCCAGTCATAAAAATTGTACTCCTTATGCTAATATCGCTATTGGTGATTCTCCTTTAGTTCAAGCAACAAGAGTCTGGAATGAAACTTCCAAATGAATCACCACTGATGCCCAGGAAAAGCAGCAGTATCAAACAACCATACAGCTTAAGAATTAGACAGCTACCCATATTGGAAATAAGCATATCACTAAAGAAATGCCTCCACTCCCTGCTAGATCAAAGGTTGAGAGTGTGATTGAGGAACCTAACCACAGGTGTCTAGAGATTAGGATGTCTGATGCATCTGCAAAGGGATGGAAGATATAGTACAGGACCTAAAGAAGACTTACACATTTCTGGAGTGGCAGCTGGAGAGCTGCTGGTCAGATATACTGGGGCATCTCAGATGGCACCAGGCATCTACACTGAGTGACCGTGAATCATTTCCTAAGTGATCACTATCACTGCCACATGAAAAAAGAGCTTGGTCTTGTAATTTCTCCTTGGAGTATAAAAAAATGGAGTGTAATACTACAACTCAGATCTTTCCAGTTTCACCAAAAAAAAAAAAAAGGCAAAATCTTCAGCTAGCAAGGGGGAAACTTCAGATGAGTTATAAATACTGCACTGTCTAGGAGTACAGGAGGGCAGAATAAGAACATACGTGAGAAGTTGCCTGTGTGCCAGTACTTACTTTATAGCCTTGTTATTCTGCGGGAGAATAGATAGTCTTGGAAAACCTACTCTTAAATGGGTTTTCTGCTTATCTACAACATAGAACACTTTCAGAATTGCAACCTGATTTTACCATTTTTTTTTTAATGTTATCAGTATAATTTTCTGTATTGGAAGAGACTCTCTTTAAATAGAGCACCAAAACGAGCACGTAGGATCCAGGACTTGTTTTCTGCATCATCCGCATCTTCTTCAGATAACAGAACCAAAACTTGTGTTTGAATCTTTTTGGTTATAAAGACTAATGTTGCCTCTTCTTAACATAAACTAGCATTAAAACAAAACAGGACTTGATATTGTATTTGACTTCAAAAACATCTATACAGAAAGATTTGAAGTCTAGCTCTGTTAAATATGGAAGCATATAACAGGGATGGAAGACTTGATCTACAGCCAACTGAAGTTCATATGAGACTCCTTTAATGAAAGAGTTCAAGAGAGCATCACACAAAGTAAATGGATTAAAGTTTCTGAAGACATTTGGACTGCCTTTTAGAAATAGTTTTAATAATTGAAATGTACATTATTGCTGCCTTATCTCTAAGCCTCAATAATATACTGTGTAATAAGTGTTAGCTAGAGTTAACCTGACTGTATTAGGCAGAACATTTTATAACTACTTACTGTATTATTTGTTTCCCCCCCAGGCTTCATGTTTAATCTACTCCTTCTCTTGTTGTGCTTTTAAATTTTTTTGCTTGATGCTTCCATAGCATGCACATCAGGAGTTGCATTTTTTCAGTATCTGAAATTCAGAGTTTGAATACTGAATGGGGGAAAAAAACTGGAAGGGAATCCTATATTGATAGGCTGGTGCCCATATTTCCCTAGCTTTTATAGTTCTTGGTTGCTAAGCCGTTGACCAGATTTGCAGAGTGAAGCAGTTTAATATAGTAATGTGGATGACTGAAAAAGCTGTTCACTCATCTAAAAGGACCAAACATTGCTGGCCACTTCCACCCTGCAAATAGTGCAACTCATTTATTTCTAGAAATTATACATAAAATTGGCCCCCATTTTGTTTTCTGTGAATACTGTTGCATTGGAAAGAGAGCTGATAGGGAGGGCAGCTGGTGAAAGCTTTTCTTCTGGCTGACAAAAGCATATTAATATCAAATGCTTCTGAAGTCAAGGTAGAAAAATTCAACATTGAAACAAGATCCACCTCCCTAGTGACAAGGATAAGTAAGTATTTGAACTCCTCTATAGAAGGAACTATGGTTCCATAATCACTGCAGTCTTAAGAATGGCAGTAGTTATTTTTGAAAGGACTTCTTCGCTGTGACTCCCATGAGAAGTATGGGGGGTTGCATGCACAAGGGTCAGACTCCATGCCCGTGCAGTCTGAGTCTCCTATTCATCCCCATTACCACAGAGCACACCAGTATTGTTCACATAATTTGCTGGGGAATTGCTGCCACCCATTGGGATTTCAGTTACAGTCAGGATATTGATATCATCAGAACCTCAACTACAGTCTATTATATTAGCATTATCTTTCAGACACCTTCAGGTCAAGGAAGACATTTTCCCTCCCAATAGGTACTAGAAGATAAGGGTGGAGGTAAGGAAGGTTGCTTTCCCAGGGAACATCAGAGACCGGCAATGGCTTGATGCCAGGCTGTGCACCAATGTGCACAGACATTCTCCTTCCTAAGCACCTGCCTCGTGTCTTTTTGACACGAAGCATGCTCACTGCCAGGTTTCTGTTCTAGAAAGAGCTTCCCCATGGTCAGATTAGCAGAAAACTTTGTAGGTTCTTTGCATTATTTTCCTTACCCTTTACCTTCTTTTCTACCCCAGAGCACAGTCCCACAAAGATTTCCCGGACATTGTTCACCTTACCAGTTCCTTCATGGAGACTGGCTATTTGCGGTATGGTGCTGTTCTGTGCCTGCAGCACACAAGTGCTTAGTCTCCCAATAACTGAAATGTCTAACTTAAGTCCCTACGCTCAGTTTATGCAAGTTCTGGTGAAATTTAATATCTTATGATACACAAGAGGTCAAACCAGATGATCTAATAGTCCCTTCTGGCTTCACATCTATGAAATATATATGTAGTGTAATAGAAAAGTGTACAATATTATTGATTTATGGCAAAATTATTATGATATATATGGCCATACCTTTGAGGTAGATCAATATAGTCCATTAATGTGCACATTATTTAATTTTTACTGTTGCTTTTCAAAAGGATTATTCTTTGCATTTATACTCTGAAATTATTGCTGAGTGAAGAATACAGATTTGGAATCACAAATGTGTAGTAACAAAACATGCACACTTGACAAGAATAATGTGTTTGTTTATGACATTGATGGTAGAAGATTTATTATGTACTTGATTATTCATTTCCTTGCTTTTATGCCCTTAGATTTTGTAAATGATGTGATAGGTATTTTCAGGGTCATCACCTAATGACCGTAACTGCTAGTTTAAATAAAATGCCTGATTCTCTGCAGAATCCTGCACAGATTTTGGGGCCCAGCACTGAATGTTGTTGGGCCAGAGGAAAACAAGTGGGACATGTACAGCTTTTGTGTTTAAACACCTTTGCACTGTGGGTATAAAATATTGCCAGGCTGATACACAATGCTACTGTGGCTCAAGCATGCACTGAACTTAGAGCAGGTGTAACGCAATCAAAGAAAAAATATTGGAGAAAGTAACTTTCTTTCACCTTTTTTCTACTAATGAAAGAATAGCTGTTTGACTAATGAGCTTCACCATGAACACTCTCAGTTATAACTGAATGAAACAAACAACAAAGAGGCTGAGATACTTCTATTAAATGGCCAGGTAGTTCACTGAAAGCCAGCCTAGGAGGGTAGGAAGATGTTTAAACACAAATAAACACAAGATATATTGCAAAACAGCTTGTAAATACTATTCTGTGTATGCTTTCTAAAGCCAAATGTTTACCTGAAAGGCCACCAAGAGTTCATTTGGATCCCAGAAGATAGTATTCCTCCCTCTCCTTCCCCTTCCCTCCCATCTTGCCAACAGAGAGATGTATTATGTCCCAAAATACTGCACTTGTGACAAAATACCTTTAGCTTGTTCCCTATGTTTCCTAGACATAAAAAGAGGCAATAAATGATGCACTACAACTACTCACACCATGCAAGGTTAAACACTTTCACTTTTATATATACATATAGGGTATGTACTCACACAGGCATGTACTTCAAGTCTAGCATGAATTTATATGCGTTCCCTAATTTTAAATATGATTACTCTAATGAATAGGGACCTTAATAAACCTTGTTCATTTAATATCAATAACAAATCCATTGAAATACATTAGATAACTTACAACAGAACCATGTCTGATTTCAAAACTATTTTTTTTTGTGTGTATTAAAAATACATGCTTTTCTTCTAACCAAAGCTTTCAGAGCCCAAGGCACCCTTACCTGTTAGAACTTATGAGCCTCCTTTTACAAGAAATGCAAATTCAAACGGAAATAAGTTCTGTAGTTTATAGTCGCTTTGGTACTTTGGTCCTTACATATCCATTTCATGCTTCAAGTGCCAGCTGATATTTCAAACTAAGCTTCTAGGTCCATATCATATTTTTAAAGTAAGCTTTTTATGTTGAGCTTTTTAACTGTTATTTGAAAGTCAAAATATTTACATCCAACTATTATTTTGTTGCCATTAAAAGAAAGCTGATTCTTCTTTAAGGGCACATACCTTTAATTCACCAATGGAAGACAGAAGTCCTGCCCCATAAGCACGTAGTTGTCCTTCTTGCTTGCAAAGGCCAAATTCAATCGTAAAAAAATAGCACTGTAAAATATACAGATATACAGATACATATAGCGTAGTTGCAAACAGGCAATTCAGCAATGACAATCAGTACCATATTCACTTGATTGCCCCATTTCTTCAGAATTTCATGTCTCTAATATAAACTCAGATAAAGTATGTTATTACTACTAAGTACTTTAAATGTCATGTTCTGCAGGAAGGGAGCTCTGCACAAAAATGTGAGATTCTGTTTTTTTTCTGTGCACCCAAGCAGTTCACAGGAATGGCCAGTTAGGAACAGACAAGCAAGTACATTTAGGTAAAGGCACTGATAGTAACCCACAGAGACTTTTGAAACTTTCTGAAATAAATGAGGTGCTTTAAAATAAAATCCTACAAGGCAGTTGGTCTCCCTGCCTAGGAACCTCTTAAGATCTCTGAGCTCTAGTTCAGAGCACTCAGCTGTAAGCTCAAGCTGATGCCACTTTAAAGTCTGGCAAATATTTAAGTGCTGTCTTGAGTTAGAATGAACTCACTTATATGTACGTGTTTAAAAGCTTTCTTGAGCCAAGGCCTTAGTCTTCACTAGATTTTAGTCTATCACAAATGAAGAACCAATATGCCATTTGACTTCTTAAATTACAGGAAGAAAATTACAGTCAGTCAAATGAGTTCACTTGACCAATCCGTTACAATTGTTCTTTCACTCAACATTCAGTCAGGTAACATATCTGAGCTGTAAAATTGATAAGCTGTGAAAGAGATGTGCTCAATCAAAACAGCAGTACCGTATGTAACTTTTCTGCATCCAACCAACAAAATTAAATGTTAGGAAGGCTGTAAGCACAGATAACCAGCCCACTGACCACTAAATGTAAATTCTGCTCCTATAATACTGAGTTTTAGTTTGATTTTGTTATGACATATCAAGATTGCTTTTTAATGTTAGATCAAACAGATTAAGCTAGTAACTATTTCTACATAAGGTCTTAAGAAGTTGATTTCTGTCATACAAATATACAGCATACATATATATACACATACATCCCTATATATGTGTGCGTTTATTACATTGTCTGTTTTTGTGCAAAGGGACAATACTCCACTGAACCCAACAGAGATTTACATGCCTTTGCAGAAAATATGAATCTAGGATATGAAATAACCCAGTATTTGGTACTAAGTCTCAAGGTTTTCTGAGTAACTTGAGACTGAATCTTAACATGACGGGGGATTTTTCTCCATTTCCTCATTCCAACCCCCAGTCTTCCAGACTGAGTACAATTCTAAATGCAAATGAGCAGAAATTAACAGCTCTAAGTTCAACAAATGTTTAGAAATTGAAAAATGATTCATTTCTCTGCCTCTCATATAAGTTCCTGTAGAGCTAGTGATTCATGCAGCATGGCACTATGCAGAAGGATGTCATGAAAAAGAATAAAAACATGAGCCCTCTGTCTGATCCAAACCTGCTCAGTCAGCTGGGAAGAGGGAAAGCTTGTAGTGACTTCAAATGTCTTGAGTGAGATGCCATCACAGTAAAGGCACAGATACCACAAGAGGAAGTGAAAGCACAACATTGTCAAACAAACAAACAAAAAAACCAACCAACCCACAAACACACTTCCACCTCTGGCTTTGCTATTGACTTGGATAAGCCAAGCTGGCATATAATTTTTCATTAGAGCTGATGTCACCACTTAGAGGAAGGCCAAGACAGATGGTTTCCAAAAGAGATGTCTCGGGAACAAGGAGTCAGATACACAAAATTACAAAGGCATCACTGTAGGAGTGATGAGTGAAGCTGAGAGACCTACTGTTAAGAAAAGTACAAACTTAGCTTCCCTGCCTAACTATTTTGCCAGAAAAACCTTCATGAGGCTACAGTTCTGGCTCTGTCCATGGTCTCACTGTCAGCAGTGAACTGCTCAGCTTTACACTTAAATCCCACTAACATATTTGAATTTGTCCCCTCCCCCTCAACACTCTTCAAAGAGCCCATCAGGTAGTAGTTCTTATGCTCTGAATACAAACACCCTGACAGATACACAGTAGGACTGAGCTCCTTATAAAACACAATGATCACCAATGTTTTCATTCTTAAAACCAACAACAGCTAAAAAGGTGAGGTCTGTTGTTTGCCTGCTAGAGATCTGTACGAGCAGCCATGACTTTGTCCCCATGTGGGACACCTTTAAGGTAGACCCTCCCCATGCTGCAGAGGACCAAACCAACATCACTGCTGGCAGAAGAAGGCCCACTTGGCAATCTATAAGGCCAGTGGAAAGAGGAAAGCGAAATGCTCTCCACTTGCGTGAGGATGTGCACTCATGGAGCAGGAAAGGAGAGAAGGCAGAGAGCTAACACTGGCACAAGAAGAGAGCAATCTCTGCTGTCCAGGGGTAGGGTGTCCACAAGACGGGGAGACCTCGACTTCACTTCTACACAGCACACAAAGAGGGAGCTTTTCTTACTTAAGTTCAATTATCATTATGATGATGATTATTACTGTTATTACAAAAGGGAGTCATATTTATGAGACAACACTTGCTGATGAGAACCCATCCTCAGACTTGCACTCTCAGTATAACCAAGTTGAATAAAATGCATACAAAATGACCAGATGATAAAATACGTCTGCATACTACTAACTTGTGGTATTAAGCTATAGCATTAAGAAAAGCCCTTCAAAGGAAAAGCTGATTTTTTGACAAATTTGCCATACGCAGCTACAAATTCCTGCACTTGCGAGAGCTCCGCTTGGCTAAGAAAATGAGATAGCTCACCCAATGCTACCATCTACAGCTCATCAGCCAGCAAGGCAGGATGCTCCCCACCCTCCCACTCACAGAGAGGCAGCTGGGAGCATTGTGAGACTCCGCAGCTCTTGGCAAGCTGTGCTCTCAAGTCTACAAACAGCAAAAAGCACACTGCTGAGGAGGTTAAATATTAACTATATAGAGGCACTTTTCACAGACCAGGTGCGTAAATACCCGCAATATGCCTCTCTGCGTGGTGAACGACACTGAGTGTGGCACTCTGTATTATATACAAGAAAACTGCACTGGAGTGGGAATGACTGAATGAAGAAATAGCTGTTGAGATGAAAACATTTCTAAAAGCCTTCCCTGAAGGTAAATAGCTGGTTATTACACTGTTTTTAAGTGTAGGCTGGTGAAAGTAAGCACAAATGGGGGCATGCAGGCCCTCATGTTCTGATTCCAAATCTTGGACCTATCTCCAGCATAGTCCCCAGCCTGCGGCCCCAAACACATGGCTCCTCTACAAGATACAGCAATGCCCTGTCATCTCCCTTTACTTTCAGCTCCATCTCATTTTTGGGGTGCAGTGTGGCTTTTCTACAAACTATAAGTAGGCTCTTGAGGCAAGAAAGGTGCCTTTCCTTGTTGTATAAATTCCATACTTATTGAAAAGCCTTCCACTAAAATGCTCCTGTCGGCCAAATCAGCAAAATAATATGAAGAATCAAAGGGCCAAGTGAAGGATTAAAAATAATTTCTAAGCCAGGAGACATCAATGGTAATAATCAAGATTCCCAGGAACATCAGACAGTGTAGGACATAATTTTATTTCCCTTATTTAACTGAATGAAAGATCACTTGCAGACATGTTCATGAAACACTGTCTACAAGGGTTCAAAAACTGTTAAATAGATCCATGGAAGAAAATCCTATTAAGGGCTATTAAATACTAATATAGAAGATCTCTTCCTTCAGAATCCCTGAATCAAAAGTCACTGGCAACTAAAGCAGTACACCAGTCAAACATCACCACCATGGCTTTAGGCCTACACTGTCCTACAGATGTCCGCAACATGCCAGTGTCAGAGACAAGATACTGAGGAAGTTGGGCTGGCCCAGTACATGTATGATTATAAGAATCAGATCAGTTGGACTACTATTGACAGGGAAGAGAGAACAGATCAAGCCCTGGCAAACTCCAAGCCTATTCTCTAGGGTAAACACAATGTCTGTTCTTCATGTCCAGTTTATAATGCAGGACAGTGCCTGAACTACTAAAAATTAAAAAAAAACCCCACACACCAAAACCACATACCACAGTGACAACTATTAGAACTAATATTAAAAAAAAAAAACAAAACCCAACATTATTCAAGTGCATTCAGAAGTTTTCAAAGGCAGGAAAAAAGTCTGCTAAGCTCAACTTTCCTCAACTGGTTGGTTTCTAAGACTTAGAAAAATCACTCCTCATATCATTTTGCATCTGGGAATTTCCCTCCTGGGATCTGTGCAAAGACTTTGTGCAGGGTGCTGGGTGCTAATGTCAAAGAGTCAGTACTTCAAAATCTGACTTGTCCATAAAAGGGCCTTTCATGCCATTCCACTTCACTTAGTTTTCTTACGATATAGCTGAGAGACCAGTATTTGTGTTCACTTGGCAATTTTCAGCATGATGTATAACACAAGATCTTATCTGTTCTCTAAAAGTACCTTGTAAAGATGTTGTCAGGGTGAGTCCCAAGAACACCAACCATATCAACAGCTGATTCACTTGCACTCCCTGTCCCAAGGGGGAAAAAGGAAAGCTGGAGTGACTGCATGACTGCAGCCCTAGCACATGGACAGGAATACTGACCAGCACAGAACTGCTAATGGGATGGGACGACAGCCCCAAACTAACATGTGGTAGTACAATCACTTTATATTACATATAAAATTATTTGCAATGAAGACAATAAAATTCCTAATGTGTTTAAGACCAGTGCCAAATAAATATCCTTAAGAAAACATATTTACATTCTTTCTACTGGATTTATTATTTCAAAGGATATTTCATTGGACCACTCAATTCAGATGTGTGCAATATGTTCACAATATGCAAAGATTAAAATTCCTTTTTCTTTAAAAGAGAAGGAAATCTTTGATATTTTAGCTCTGAAGTTATTCACCTAGAGATTAAATCTCTCATATAGTTGTAATTATTTTGTAAGAAGATAGTTATATACCACTGAAATATTAAAAAATCCCATTGTTAGAAATTAATCCTAAGAATTAATG